CCTCACAGGTGCTACGTGACAATGTGACGGAACACTTGACCTCGAATTTAGAGACTAACTGGTCACCAGAAATACACACATAGGTACTTACTCATTCATACTGCCAGCTTACACACCATTCCCATACATCAGGCACCCCGCTACGGGTGGCTGGCTCGCTCACAGAGGTGGCGTAGGCAGCGGTAGTACCACACGTGGTATTTTACATACAATTGGCGTGCACTCGAACCCCTCCCACTCACAACACGGCTCGGTTCGCACCCTCGACCCACCGGTGAAGTGAAGCGTTCGTACCCAGGTGACGCGCACAACGATAGCGTCTTACACAAACATGGGAAGTCTGCCTGACACGAATTTCCCCGTTCCCATCGACTGCTACAGAGCACTAGCAAGTCTAATCATCACTGGTATGGGATCTACAAGTCTGTTACTGCTCGTATGCACATTCCCCACGATCCCAGATCACAAGCTCTTCTCTTCCCACTGTACACAATGTCTTTCTCACCATTTGGTCACCATTTGGTCCGGGAGACATCTCCCGTCACGCAGGGTGCAGTTGCGCCTCCACAGATCTCCAGTATCATCTTTTGATACTGGTAATGGCTCAAAAGGACCACCACTTACGGGCTACTCATGCCCGTGCCACCTCTTGGGTGGCTTAATCTTCATCAGTCGAATAGAAGACACACCATCTGGTCACCATTTGGTCCGGGAGACATCTCCCGTCACGCTGGGTGCAGTCGCATCTCCACAGATCTCCAGTATCATCTATTGATACTGGTAATGGCTTAAAATGGCCACCACTTACGGGCTATTTATGCCCGTGCCACTTTTTGGGTTGCTTCAGCTTCATCTTAACACATTCATAAGGGAGACATCTCCCGTCATGCAGGGTGCATTCACACCGCCACAGATCTCCAGTATCAGCTCTTGATACTGGTAATGGCTTAAAAGGGCCACCACTTATGGGCTATTCATGCCCGTGCCACCTTTTGGGTGGCTTAATCTTCATCAATCAATGTCTTTTTCTCCTCCAAGCGACGACATCGGCCGGATTCTGTGACGACCGCTGTCGTTGGTGAAGCAGGAAGTGAATCAGTTGAGTAGTCCAGCCACCACGACGCCCTATACTTCAATTTGACCGAATTGAGTACAGAAGCGTCTTGACAAGGTGGCAGCTGAGTTCAGAATGACGCTCACACCGACGATTCCCGCGTCCTCCTCGAAATAACCAATGAGAGGAAGGCATACAGCGGCCTACCCCTCTCATCCAATCAGCGACGGTGTAGCATAGCCCCTAGGGCAACTCCAAGATGGCCGACCAACATGGCGGCCCAAGATGTTTACTAAGATGGCGGCTGTTTCCATGACGACGACTCGAGCGCGGGAGGCCCACAGCTCACCCCACGCCTGCGGCCTAGCTGTTCCCGCGCAAAGTGGAGTCTCGCTCCAAGCCATACAAGGAGATGATGCTATCAGCTCTAGCACTGTCCACAAACGTGCTACCCTGGCCAGGGTAACATTTCTGGAATGCTGATGACTGGGGTTCTCACATGAGCCCAAACACTAGATGTTTCGGTTGCTGGTTACCAAACTTAAGTCCGCCTACCTAACAAGTGCACTTAACAAGTGTACTGGCTCCCACAGGAATAAGAGCACTATTGTAAGTGAGCTGGTGAACCATCTCCTCACAATTTATTAGGGTGTCCAGCTGATGGACACTTTTTTGACCAGAAGAGTTAATAGCTTCAGGGTGGTTACTGCAAGATTCGGCGACTCCTAAAGCCCTTCTAAGGTCGTTGGTTGCTTCACATTCCAGGAGATAGTGAAGTAGTGGCTTTTTTGTGACTGTTTGGCAGAAGATGCATTCTCTCTGTCGCTAGGTACGACCTATATATATATAATATATTATATAATAGATATTATATATATATATATATATATTATATATATATATATATATATATATATATATATGTCGTACCTAGTAGCAGAACTCACTTCTCAGCCTACTATTCAAGGCCCGATTTGCCTAATAAGCCAAGTTTTCCTGAATTAATATATTTACTATAATTTTTTTCTTATGAAATGATAAAGCAACCCTTTTCTCTATGTATGAGGTCAATTTTTTTTTATTGGAGTTAAAATTAACGTAGATATATGACCGAACCTAACCAACCCTACCTAACCTAACCTAGCCTATATATATAGGTAAGGTTAGGTTAGGTAGCCAAAAAAAAAAGCTAGGTTAGGTTAGGTTAGGTAGGTTAGGTAGACGAAAAAACATTAATTCATGAAAACTTGGCTTATTAGGCAAATCGGGCCTTGAATAGTAGGCTGAGAAGTGCGTTCTGGCTATTAGGTACGACATATATATATATATATATATATATATATATATATAGATATCTTGGTAGCAGTATCTTTCCTGTAGACATATATGTATTAAAAGATAGCCCGAACTCAGTTCTCAGATTAATAATTCTAGGCACGAATTTTCTCATAAGCCAGTTTTCATACATTAATCTATTTCACTGTAATGGAGGTCTTATCAAATGATAAAGCAAGCCTTTTCTCAATATATGATGTCAATTTTTTTTTATTCTAGTCAAAATTGACGTAGACACGAGCGCGTTTCGTAACCAACTTATACATTTTCAAAGACTTTAGTTACAAATACACAACTGAATAGAATTAGGCATCTCCGATTTTATATCTTACATTTGAGTGAGGTGGATGGGGTGAGGTGGCATTAATAGGGTATTAATTTCATCAACACAAGACAGAACACGAAACAATGGGTATTGAATAGAAGTGTTTGTAGAAACATTATTGGTCCAATTTCTTGATGCTTCAAGACTCCGCTCCAATATAGAAGCATCATCAAGAAATAGGACCAATGCTATCTACAAACACTTCTATTCAATACCCATTGGTTCGTGTTCTGTCTGTGGTTGATGAAATTAATACCCTATTAGTGCACCTCTTGTTCTGTCTTGTGTTGATGAAATTAAACCCTATTAATGCCACCTCACCCCATCCACCTCACTCAAATGTAGATATAAAATCGGAGATGCGTAAGTTCTATTCAGTTGTGTATTTGTAAACTAAAGTCTTTGAAAATGTAATAAGTTTTACGAAACGCGCTCGTGTCGCGTCAGACTAGAAATAAATGATTTTGGAGAATTGATTTTTGAATTACCTCCAACAGTGAAAAGAAATGTATGAAAGATTGAGAAAAATTTGTGTTAGAATTATTAATCTTACTTTTTCGGTCATATCTTCATATCATGAAGTCTTGTCCTGTATACGCAGACGGCCCATTGGCCCATCAGATGCACCCAATTGGCACATCCGATGTAGCCCATGGCCCATCTGATACAGCAGACATACAAGCATAATATAAGTATTATAACATAAAGAAGTAAATATATACATAAATTAGTGAGACAAATGTTTTTCTATGATTCTACTTAAATCGCCCTTTAGCTGATCTATTAGAAATGGATCTAAGTTTAAGACCACTGCTAATATTCAAATTACTTTCTTTGGTGATCTGTATCAAAGCAGATTCAATTATGTTCTGTTATAGGTGCTTTTACAATTTTGTTATTGAAGAAGCACTCTCCCAATCATTTGTGAGCTTTTTCTGACAATGCACACCAAAGCATTAGACATTGGCCATGTCTTACAGAGTATTTATGTTGCGATATTCTACATTTTAAATCTTTAGATGTTTGTCCGACATAGAACTTATTACATTCCTTACAAGGTATTTTATAAATACGCAATTATCACTACGAGGGCTGTTCCTTACTAATAGCTTACCAACAGTGTTTTCGTAGCTAAACATTACATCAATATTAAAAAGTTTCAAGGCCTTGACAATATCTCAAACCCAGAGAAATATGGTAAACATAACCATTCGTTGGCGAATCCTTTCACTGCATACATTATTTAAATATGTACGACGAGCTTGTTACCAAAACTTCCAAAAATGTGCCAATTGGGTGCATCTGATGGGCCAGGGCCGTCTGCGTTGTCCAAGTATGTACCTCACCTTACTTCACCACTCCTTCCTGCCTATTTATACCCATCACTCGATCTGTAAAATGGACCTTCGAAGATGTATTTAATATACGAAAGTACTTAAGGAATTTTCCTGTTTCATTTTTCCTCCGTGGTCTGACATTGTCACATTCTTAATCACGTTTTATTTTCGTGATATACACACACACATATATATATATATATATATATATATATATAGATATATATTTATATAATAGATTATATATATATTAGTATATTTTGGTAACAGTCTTTCCTGTAGACATATATTATTAAATATGACCGAAAAATTAAGATTATAATTCTAAAGCAACCAATGACCTTAGAAGAGCTTTAAGAGTTCCTGAATCATGCAGTGGCCACCCTGAAGCCATCAACACAGCCACTCTCCTGGTCAACAAAGGTGTTCAGCAGCTGGACACCCCTCATAAAGACTGAGAAGCAGTATCCTCCCCCGCGATAACAGCTTGATGGTTAAATGCAAACTCAGAACACTGAGAAAAAAAAATTGTACCACTTACGGGCTATTCATGCCCGTGCCACCTCTTGGGTGGCTTAATCTACATCAATCTACATCATCTGGGAAATCTACAGCCCCTGGTGAGGATGGAGTAACTAATGAAATACTTAATAAACTTGCCATTATGAAAAACACACACAGTTAGACCTCTTTAATATTAGTTATAAAGAGGGCAGTATTCCTAGTAAATTAAAAAAAAGGTGTGATCATCCCTATCCCTAAAGCCAATGGAGAGTACAGATCTGAGTCCTTAAACTCGTGTTTTTGTAAAATGATGGAGAGGATTATTTTAAATAGACTTTTATATATGATAGGTGATCAGCTGTCTAGTATTTGTTCAGGTTCCTCAGCGACAAAAGTCCCTCTATCTATTATTAATTGTTTAGCTAATGATAATGATTACGCACAGTTCTATGCACGCACAGATAGTGCAAAGACCGAGGCATCTATGGTACCTGAATTAGGACCTCTCGGAGGACCTAATTCTCACTAAGGTTGAGATCTTAGAAAATGTCTCTACCATCGGAAATGTCTCACCAGCTGACATCGTGGAGACCAGAGGTGTTCACCTTCTCCCGCAACAATGACCTGGAGAAACTATTCACCGCCTCCACCACGACCACCCTGCTAGACGCCGGCCTCACCCCCCACCCCCCTATCCGTTGCATTCCCCAATGGAGTCTCCGTGGTGTAGTGGTAAGACACTCGCCTGGCGTTCCGCGAGCGCTATGTCATGGGTTCGTATCCTGGCCGGGGAGGATTTACTGGGCGAAATTCCTTAACTGTAGCCTCTGTTTAACGCAACAGTAAAATGTGTACTTGGAAGAAAAAACGATTCTTCGCGGCAGGGGATCGTATTCCAGGGACCATAGGATTAAGGACTTGCCCGAAACGCTACGCGTACTAGTGGCTGTACAAGAATGTAACAACTCTTGTATATATCTCAAAAAAAAAAAAAATCTGATGTTCCAATCAGAAAAATGGGATCATCAAATGATCTGATGTTTCAATCAGAAAATGGGAACATCAAATTATCTGATGGTTCCCATCACTGAAAAATAAGAAAAAAAAACTGATAAAAAAATATCCTTAGGGAGCCGGTCGGCCGAGCGGACAGCACGCTGTACTTGTGATCCTGGGTTCGATCCCAGGCGCCGACGAGAAACAGTGGGCAGAGTTTCTTTCACACTATGCCCGCTGTTACCTAGCAGTAAATTAGGTACCTGGGTGTTAGTCAGCTGTCACGGGCTGCTTCCTGGGGGTGGAGGCCTAGTCGAGGACCGGGCCGCGGGGACACTAAAAAGCCCCGAAATCATCTCAAGATGATAGAAACGGTATAGGAAACGACACAGCTCATTTTTAACTCAATGTCACACAAAATTATAAAATCAAAATGCATTTAATAAATTGCATTTAACAATGCAATTGGAAACATTGAAATGAAATCATAAAATATTTAGCAGAGCATATGTTCCTTTTACGTCCAACAGATGGTGGATTGTTTTTCAAACCAAGCACGTTTTCACCTGTCACAGGGGTGGCATCTATATAAAAAGATGCTAGGTATATAAAAACATGCACGTATTCGAATGGAACATTGCGTCAAAATTTCAAACCAATCGGTTAAGAACTTTTGGAGATTACAGCATGTGTTGCTTATACGTCCAACAGATGGCGCTATTTTAAAAAAGAAACATATTTATATCTGTTACAGGTGTGGCATGTTTAAAGCAAGCATATAAAAACACGCACAAATTCGAATGCAACTTTGTGTCAAAATTTTAAAGCAATTGGTACTCACCTAATTGTGCTTGCGGGGGTTGAGCTTTGGCTCTTTGGTCCCGCCTCTCAACTGTCAATCAACTGGTGTACAGATTCCTGAGCCTACTGGGCTCTATCATATCTACATTTGAAACTGTGTATGGAGTCAGCCTCCACCATGGTATAAAGGTTTTGGAGATTTCCCTCGAATACAAAAGTACATAATAACACGCACGTATTCGAGTGGAACGTTGTGTCAAAATTTCAAAGCAGTCGGTGGAGAACTTTGGGACATTAGCGATTTTGAACAAAACTAACATTTACATTTGTATTTATATAGATGCTGCACATGTCATTTTGTTGTTTTGGTAAAGGTAGACTGGGCAAGTTGGAGAAGGTACAAAATAAAGCAATGAGAATAATCTTAGGATGCCCAAGAAATGCTATGATTTAGATAATGAGGATTGAACTGAGGAGTATTGGGGATAGAATTTCAGAGATGTAGCCTCTGCTATTAGATTATTGAGAGGTGGGGAAGCTAATGAAATAATCCTCCCAGTTCACAAGATGGGAATAAATGAACAGTGTATGAGAAAGTATATCAAGCGAGCAAATATGAGTACCTTATGTTCTAATGTTAAAAAGTATGATGTTATTCCAGAATGAATTGCTTTGCCCAGGAGACAATTAACACTACCATAGGAGGTTTGTATCGTAGGTGTAGTAATTATTTCTCTTGCAAAAGAAAAATGTATTTACGAGAATGGAGAGTTGAGGGCAACATATGATTGTGTAATTAGGAAATTACCTACAGAAAACACTTTACATGTATATTGTGATGGGTCTGTAGCTAGGGATGGAAAGGCAGGATGTGGAATCTTGACTAGGGAGTACACTGACATCGGCACTGTAAATATTGTTATTGGACGTCGCTTAACTGACAATGTCTCTTCAAAGCAGGCTCAACTTCAAATTGGTATAGCTACATATAATTATTATTGTCAGGTATTATAAAGTATTCTTATAGGTCTCTTAAACACTTAGTAGACCTAATGATGATGCAATAATAATATCATTGAAAAATATTGTAAATTTACCCAATCATATTTTTAAATTTACAATTTTTTTTAGCAAGACTACAGGAAGTAGTCAAATGTTTTAAAAATGTCTGTTTCTTTATAAGAACATAAGAACAAAGGTAACTGCAAAACGTCTATTGGCCTATACGAGGCAGATCCTATTTATAACCACCCAATCTCACTCATATACATATCCAACCCTACGCTGGACACGTTCAAGTGAATTTATATCCATTCTATAGTATGGCGACCAAATCTGAACTGCATAATCTAAATGGGGCCTAATCAGAGCAAGATATAGCTGAAGAACAACACCAGGTGTCTTGTTACTAACGCTTCGATTAATAAATCCCAGTGTCCTTTTTGCCTTATTACGAACATTCAGGCATTGATCCTTTTGTTTTAAATTCTTACTAATCATAACTCCCAGATCCCTTTCGCAATCCGACTTCGCAATCTCAACACCATCAAGCTCGTATCATGTAACTCTATCATCATTACCTAGCCTCAGAACTTTACAATTATGAGCAGTAAACTGAATCTACCAATCTTTTGACCATTTCAAAACCCTATTTAGATCAGCTTGAAGTGATAGTGAGTCTTCTTCCGTGTTAATTTTTCTACCGATTTTTTATTCAGGCTATTCAAACCTGAATCTAAATCATTTATATATATTATAAACAACAGAGGTCCCAGGACCTCTGGAGGTACGGAGGTACTCCGGGCAATAGAGCCCGGAGGTACTCCACTAATAACATTATCCGACTCTGACTTAACCCCATTTATACTAACTCTCTGTTTCCTTTGGAATAGCCATGCCCTAATCCAACTTAATATAGCACCCCAATACCATGAGCTTCTATTTTTTTAATTAGTCTTTCATGTGGCACTGTATCAAAAGCTTTGCTAAAGTCAAGGTACACAACATCACAATCCTTACCACTATCAACTGCCTCAACTATGCTGGAATAAAATGATAGCAAATTTGTTAAACATGAACAGCCATTTGTAAAACCATGTTGCGACTCATTTATTAATTTATGTTTTTCATAAATCCCACTCTGACTTAACCCCATTTATACTAACTCTCTGTTTCCTTTGGAATAGCTATGCCCTAATCTAACTTAATATAGCACCCCCAATACCATGAGCCTCTATTTTTTTAACCAGTCTTTCATTTGACACTGTATCAAAAGCTATGCAATAGTCAAGGTACACATCATCACAATCCTTACCACTATCAACTGTCTCAACTATGGAGGATAAAAAGATAGCAAATTTGTTAAAAATGAACAGCAATTTGTAAAAAATTGGTACCACATTAGCTACCTTCCATGACTCTGGCACTCTGCCTAACTCTATTGATTTATTAAATATGGTAGACAGTGGCTCGGAAAGCTCCTCTTTGCATTCTTTAAGCACCCTGGCAAACACTTCATCCGGCCCTGGGGATTTGTTTGGTTTTAGTTTTACTAATTGTTTAAATACATCCTCCCTGGTAACTGCTAAACTAGTCAACCTGTCTTCGTCCCCACCCACATAGACTTGTTCGGCTGAAGGCATATTGTTAAGTTCCTCTTTAGTAAATACAAATAAAAAATATTTATTAAAAATACTACTCATCTCCTCGTCATTGTCCGTTATTTGACCAGTCTCAGTTTTTTACGGACCTATCCTTTCCCTAGTCTTAGTTTGATATAACTGAAAAAACCCTTTAGGATTTGTTTTTGTTTGCCCTGCTATGCGAACTTCATAGTTCTTTTTGCTTTCCTTATCTCTCTTTTAACATTTCTAACCAGTTGTGCGAATTCCTGTTCTTAATCCTTTTGTTCCACGCTCTCTTTTTACCTGTAAGTTTCTTCAAATTCTTTGTTATTCACTTTGGGTCATTAGTATTCGATCTATTTAATTTGTATGGTATGCTACTCATCTCCTCGTCATTGTCCGTTATTTGACCCGTCTCAGTTTTTTATGGACCTATCCTTTCCCTAGTCTTAGTTTGATATAACTGAAAAAACCCGTAGGGAGCCGGTCGGCCGAGCGGACAGCACGCTGGACTTATGATCCTGTGGTCCTGAGTTTGATCCCAGGCGCCGGCGAAAAACAATGAGCAGAGTTTCTTTCACCCTATGCCCGTGTCACCTAGCAGTAAAATAGGTACCTGGGTGTTAGTCAGATGTCATGGGCTGCTTCCCAAGGGTAGAGGCTTGGTCGAGGACCGGGCCTGGGGACACTAAAGACCCCGAAATCATCTCAAGATAACCTCAAGAAGATACTACGTTCATGTGCTTTGCTAAGAATATTCTTAAATAAGTTATATATTGAATCCACATCGAAATCTCCTTTTACGTCACCTATCGCTGGGTTCATGACTCGCTCCAAGACCGGCCCACCCCCATGCCCAAGACTTTCCAATCTATTTGACCCAAAAAAATTCTTAGGCTATTAAAATCAGCTTTTCAAAAATCTGAGCTTAATAAAAATCTTTATAGACAGTAGAGGAGCGTGGGAGACTTTAAATAGTAGACGAGTAGTATATTGTGATTGAGTGTAGAAAGAATGTTAAGACATTAGACACAAAATGGGTATAGAGTAATATTGATGTGGATCCCTTCACATGTGGGAATACTGTTGAAGGAGTCAGTTGATGAGA